TCAATACAGTGAGATAAAATAGAATGTGAAAGAACTTCCAAGACTGAAATTGTTAGTAGGTTCAAAGAACGTGGGAGCATTTTAAGGAAATGCATTTCTTGGTATCGACCTTTTCTTATCCAGGAAAACTGCTCTTTAACGTGCTGTAGACGGAAGTGTTTCCTCCCTGCTTGCCCTGCTCCAGACACTGGCTTGTTTCAGGGCTGAGCAGTGCTCTGTGCTTTGAAGGTCAGCAGGAGCTCTCTCTGAGAATGCAAATGTAATCTGCTGATCTCAGCTGATAGTGCAGTGCCTACACTTCATAGCCCTAACTGTGGTAATTAGGTGACATCTCTGCTTCGCTGCTTAATAGTGGCAAGCTTGGGCTTGATTTAAGCTGGAGTGAGTCTGAAGGAACTCTCCTAAGCAGTGAAGTGTTCCCTCTTGCCTTGGTTGCTCTATGTGATGGAGGGGTGGGGATATCAAATTCCTTTTTTTAAGCTGAATTTGCTCTTTCATTGTGGGACTGTGCTGCACTTGCTTCCTACTAGAGTGGTACCTCCTGCCTAGTTGCTGTTTCCCCATTTCTTGCAAAAGAGTGAGCTGAGCTGGTGCAATGTACTTTGAGCTACTCTGGGGTAACATAGAGGTTAAGAAGTAGTGTGTTGGTTTGAAAAGTAAGGTGAGAGGAGACTTTCTGACTCCTTGGTCGGCAGCTTAAGAGGTGAACTCTTGTTAGCAATCTTCCTTCCTGGCATATCAGTGAAGCAGGGAGATCTGAATCATTTGGACTGTAAGAAAATAATCAGTCAATTACTGCAAAACAAAGTTGCTTTGAATATTTACCCACAGATTCAGGAGGGGTTGGTAAACAGAATAAGAATGAACTTGGTTTTGTTTATTAAGTTACTAATTTAAATGTTTAATGGAGTAAACTGCAACTGAAAGATGGGAGTTTTTTGGACTCAGTACTTATGGCCTTTTGCAAAAATAGCTTTATGGATTTGATTGTGACAGTCAGTCAGGTGATCTCTTTCTGTAACTCCCTGGAGATATGTTCAAGCCAGATTTTGGTGTAGAGTAGGACTGTTGTGGTAGAACATAAAATAGGGAGGAGGGTGAGGAGAGTTTTGTAAGACACTAGTAACTTTCCAGGACCATGGGTTAATTTTGCTAGTGTGGCTGCAGGTTAGGGTGAAGCTTTTCTAACTGAATTTTGCTTACTAAATGTCAAACCTTACAGTGTCAGTATAAAATGTTTGGATGTTCAAAAGTACCTACTTGACATCTGTAAGCTGTGGCTGTCTTGAAAAAGTGACTACATTTGTATTAGATTTAGGTAGGTTAAAATGTGATTTGCCAATTTACCTCATAGAGGAATCAAACAATTTTAAAACCCTGTCAGAGAGGTAAAAAAGTAATTTTATTTTGGTGCTGTGATTGGGAAACAATTAGTGATAGCAAACATTTTGTTTTATGTGCATGCCCTCCTTCACAAGCTAGTGGACTTTGTCCTTGGTTAGGAAAATTCCAGAGAAATTTTCCAAATTTATTCCTTAATCTCTGCTGAAGTTGGCATGTGTGTTCTTTAACATTTTTACTTTCCTAAAACTCTTCCTTAGTGTGCAAGCTGCTCGTCTTAAATCCTTAGATGATTACAGAGTTTTAATACCTAGCTGCTTTTATTGCAACTAGTCTTGTTTGCCTATACACATCATTTATCATTTATATGTGTCTTTTCAGGTTTGGTTTTTTCTGGTTTTGCTATGTTTTTTATTTATATATATGAACATATATTTCTAGAGTTTTCTGTGAGTTCTTTTCTGTAAAAACAAAGTAAATTAACAGAAAGTAGTAGTAGTTGATCCCGAGTAGAATATGCTACATTTAAGATGGTGAAAAATGATATTGTAGGACAGTAAAATCACAGGCTGCAGACAGTTGATTGCTGTATGGCATAGCAGGGGGTTGTGATTTTGGGTTTGGGATGGTTTTTTTTAAACACAGAGTAATTCAAAGTAACAACTGGGTTTTGAATTCCAAATCTAATTCTGTTGGAGGTGGTTTTACATGTGTGTGCTGTTTTTTGTGTTTATAAATCCTTATTTACTATCTTGGCCTTTATACCCAAAGATGTTTGATAGGAATTTTGCATGTGGTGGCTCACTATGTAAGGTGACACAGATACACTTGGAACATGCAAATAATAATTCATTCTAATACTAATTTAATATTTGTAAACTAACATACTGTACTGAAGTTACTAGTGCTGCTAATAAACATAATTTCTTTTGCATTTTTTCCTTCTGACCCCAGTAGTTGAAAACAGTAAGTTTGCTAATGTGTGCATTTACTGTTCTTCAGAGTAATTTTATTATATAGGGGTTAAAAGTCTAATGTTAAGATATTGTCATGGTGGGAGTAAGTAGAACTGGTTGGTTCTAGAAAAAACTCACTCAAAACTTTCACCATCATCCAGTATTGAGTTTATAGTGTTTGCTAGCCACGGCTGATGTGGAAATGTGAGGGATTTATTTGGGCTTTGGATTTGGTTTTTTTTTTCTTCCACTCAAGAGGGTTCAACATAGATGTCAAAAACTGTTGGCCATGTAATTTAAAAAACTTAATTAAAAACATCTTATTCCTGCATTTTTAGTTTAACCTGCCAGTATCTAAGCATACATTGCCAGCTCTGATAATAGACATTTTTATGCTGATTACTTGAGGTTATCTTTCTGACAGTGTACTCACCAAAGTAACTGCAGAATTTGGAGGCTTTTTTAGAAAGCATAAGTAATTCTGATGTACTTGTAATTTCCTACTTCTGAAAAAAAGTCACTTTCTCTACTTTCCATAAGTAATTCTGATGTACTTGTAATTCCTACTTCTAAAAAAAAGTCACTTCCTCTACTTTTGGTCTTCAAGAAGTAGACTTATCTCAGGATCAAACTTTGAATGTATCATTTTCTTTTAGTAAATATAGTAAATAGTATTTTGTATGTGGGAAATAAAGGATTAAGGTGCTTTTGTGGCATTGGTATGTAATGGTTTTGTCTTTTTATCTTATATGAAGGAAAACTTTGAATTTTTAAGAGTGGAGGTACTGGACTAGTAAGGAGAGTACTAGGTCATGAATAACACATAAATGGAAGAGGTTTTTAAGGGCAGGTTGGAGAGGAGAGGAGATGGCATGGAAGGCTCAGCTTAAAGGATGGATTAACTGCAGGCAGAGGACAGTGTCCCTTGAACGAGGGACTGCATGCTAAGGCCTGTGGACTGTGGTGAATAAAGGGAACAGCAGAGCTTGTTGTCTGCTGAGAGTGATAGTACATGGTGCAGACCTGCTCTCTGAAGGGGTTTTAGTAGAAGTGACCACATGTGTGATAAAATACCTCCAGTGGCAGAACTTACTGTTCAAAGTTTCAGCGGGAGTGGATTGTGTGTTCTATACAAGGAAGATAGTCAGATATAAAACTAGACAGTGTAAGCCTGGATTATTTTTTTTTTTTGGGAGGAGGCAGACAGGCCAAGGCAAGTCAAAATATTATCAGGCAGTGCCTGCTGTGATAAATGTGATTGAGTGTCCAGTCTTTGGAAGGTGCTCACAGAACAGCTCCACGAAGGATTGATTCCTTCTGATTTCTTTGTAGAGATAAGGGTTTCGTAATGGGAGAAAGTGCCTAATAGGAATCTTCCCCAACTTGTCTGCATCATGCTTTTAGTTTAATCTCTACACTTGGGTTTGATCTCCACAAGGCAGAATAAAATTGGTTAAGCATGACTATAGCAGTGCAGAAAGAATTTCAGCTGGGCTAAGAGACAGCACATCTTTTGACCGGAACCCTAGTATGAAGTTGGGGATGCATTTAAAAGGAAGAAAAGGCTGTGTGTAATCTTAACTGTGAAGAAAAAAAATTGGGCATTGTGTAGTATGTTGCATCAGTGCTCTTCTTTTTTTTTTTTTTTTTTTGGTCAGTCTTGATCAAAAGAATTTTCAGGTGTGATGAGGGAAAGTTCTGCTGGTGTAGTGTTGGACTTGTAGGTTTCTAGAAAAGGATTGTGGTGTTGGATTTTTGGGAATTTTGTTGTTACAGAATTGAACTTTGTAATTGTGGTAATAAATGCTGCTAGTAATGGCATGGATCATATTTCAGGAATTGCTAGCCCAGTGATTTAGTCACCAAATTGCTACTGAACCAACAGGAGGTGATGCTATTTTAGACTTGGTAGGGAAGTGTGATGAAGTCTTTTAGAACTGCTTCTGGAAGATGAAGCTGACTGTGAGATCACAAGTTGATTCATAAATTCTGTGCTAAGATCATCGGTGTCAGAGCTTTTGAAGAACTCTGCTGGTGGTAGAGGTGGAGGCCAGGGATATATTCTGTTAGAACTCCTAAAATTAAGTCATTTTATCCTACATGATTCTCATTAAAGGGGAAATATTGTAGGAAAACACTCTGGATTTGAGTGATAATCACTTTGGTGCTGTGTCTCCAGGGATGAAGGATAAAGTAATAATTGTCAAGGTCAAGCTGAGCTGGACCTTGAAAAGTATCAGAGTAGCATGAAAAAGGATCTTTAGCTATGTAAATATAAAATGAATTTGTTGTGCGGAGGGCATGGTAGAGTTTAAGCATCAACCCAGAATTAAATTAGTCCTTGCACTGAAACAGTGCAGTACCCTGCTGGTTTTCCTTCGGGTTCTGTGCAAAGGAAGTGAGAGTGTGGAGATAGCTGCAGCTGTAGTAATGAAAGCAGTCAGCTCAGATGGAGGAACCAGGTGACTCTTGAAAGAAACTGAGCTGAGCAACAGGGTGTGTGTTTGATTGCTTTTTAACAAATTTATGGAGTGGGGAAGGATTTGTTGTGAAAAACAGCTGGTGTGGTACTAATTGAAATTGAGTATGAAGGTGAATATCCAGACTGCTGCAAGAGTGTGCAGGGCACTGAAGAACAGTAGAAAGTGAGACAAACTGCAGAGATTGTATCAGTGAGATTGATCCCATTTGCTGTTGCTTCAGTCCTCAAAATGGAAAGTTGCTTGTGAAGAACAAGAACTGCTGTCAGCTTGGAGCCTGCCAGGTGATGTTGACAGCTTACTCGTTGGCAGAGGGAGAGCAGAAGAACCTCAGCTGACATTAGTGACTGCAGTCCCCGAGCAGGTAGTTCTGGTGACTCATTAACTGTGCTGGTTGTTTAAACCGATGTGCTGCTTTGTGAATGAGGAGGTCATGCACAGGCTCAGCACCTCTGAGAAAGCACAGTGCAGTCACTGGAGAGGACAAAGACTTCTGCAGAAATCCTTGCTGGCACTCCTGTCACTTGATCTGAGCCTTGTGTCATGCTGCCATGGAAAAAAGGCAGATTTGATCTTAGGTTATGCTGGTTCTGATGTATTTTCAGTGAGTGCAACAGAGTGTTCGTGGCACAGACTCCAAGTCTTGATCTAAATTTGTTTGTGCAGTGCTGATTAGGTGATCATGGGACATAGAGTGGAGAAATCAAAAAGAATCAGTATGGTGAAATGAAAATTTCAGCTTGTTTAGAAGAAAATTAAGGCTGAAGAGTCAGTATAAACACCATATATTTTGCAAGGGGAATAAATACTAGAGATGCAAAGACACTTCTTGAAGCCGGGAAACAGTGCTGTCACAGGTGGGTGTAAATAGATTGTAACATCACCTAATTGGACTTGAGAAGCTTTGAAAAATGGTCAGGTGGTGGAATGAGCTGCCAGTTGGAATAGTGAGAGCAAAAAAAGTAAAAGGGATGTTGGAAAGCTTGCAAGAAACAAGTGCTGTGTATGATTGAGTTGGGACTCAGAGTTTCTTACAGTGTCTGGCTGTTGGGGAGGACAGTCTGTTCTGCTGCTCACTGTCAGGAGGCAAAGCTTTCAAAGAAAACTGTTTTGGTGGCTCTCTGGTCAGGCAACCTACATGAACAGTAGCAGGAAAAAAAATTAAAATAGGTTTAAAAGATAATGCCATTAATATCTTCCTTTCTCTGATAGGTACGGTCATGAAAGACAGCACAAGGTCTGATTCTGAACTTAAAAAGCTAGTTTATAGATAGACATGAGTAAAGCATTGCATCTAGTATTTAACTGCCTTATGATTTTGGAGGTGCATGGGGCATTCTTCACTTAGAGCGTGGTTGAGTATTTGTTTTTGGAAGTGCCTCAGCAGTGCAGCTGCAGGTGCTGCCTCCTTCCCGTGGGTTGAAGGGGTTTTACTCAGGTTCTGGAAACAAATGTATGTAACTACACTTGTTTGTAGTCTATTTATTTTGTAGTGTAATTACAGTGTATGTAATACATACAATCGTATGTCCCAATCCACCAGTGTATTAATTGAGTGAAGGCTTTAATTAGGGTCTTTTACATGGTGAAACTTTTACCTGATATTTGACTTTTCCTTATGTCTGTGACCATCACTGCTCAGAAGAGCATTTGGGGGGGACTGAATCTATAGGACATTAGCAGGAAGGAAACAGGTAATCTCCCAGCTGTTGTTCAGTGGATTGTGTCCTTCATGGTTCACATCACTGATAGATCCAAGAACCAGCTGATGGCAACCATCAGCTTTATCTGACTTAACTCTTCTCTTAATAGCTGTCAGCAGCCAGGTTTACCCTGGGGGTGAAGCACAGCTGCACAGAGCTTTTGGCTTAGAACTAGTTGGAACGATTTTAAAAGATCTGGGAAAGATGCGAAGAGTTCTGGAAAAAATTAGCATAGGGTTGGGGAAATCTGCATGGCAGTTGGTGAGCACAGTATGCAGAAGTAGCTGAATGGAAAAACCTGTAATTACCTCTAAAAACTCGATGGCACATCTTTCTAAAAGGAGATTCTGCTTTGCCACCCTCCCCAGAAAAAGTTGCTGTCTGAAAGATTCATATGAATTTCACTGCTCCCTGGACCTGGAAAGCAAATGCAGTGGAATGAGTAGCTCTGGCTGCTGCTTCTGAGAATCCATTTCTGGAAAACATATGTTTTCTTCAATATTAAAGTACAGTGTTTTTATTTTCTAGGCAAGTTGATATGGAGTGTGAAAATGTTGAGGAGGTGACAATGATATTCAAGTGTATAAATAAATTGCACCTTATGCCTAAATAGTCAAGATAAACATGACTTGAGCAAGACTACAGTGTTCTGTTTAGATCATTGTATTGTTAAAAATACCACTCCATGTGGGGAAGTCTCTCTGTATTCCATGGAAAAGTGACAAACATGTCTATTACTAATCAAATCGGTCTAAAGGAGAAGAAAACTAGTGTGGGATTTGGTCAGTTGAATTTGATAGTTGAAGATATGTAGAATTAATAGCTGATTTGAAAGATCATGATCTTTTAAAAAATGTAGTCAATATAATTTTGCATATTTTATTGCTAGATTGCTTTGCTTATTCTACTGATAGTATAAATAAAATTGACATGTCTAATGTGTCACAAATGTCTGTTTTTAATGAAGATTTCAACAGGAAGATAGCTGTTAACTTCAGGTTACAATATTTTTTATGTTTATGTTAAACTACTATTTAAAAAACTTAAAATACCATATTTTGGGGGAAATCTGTATGTCAAATGCTTACTTACCATTCTTTGTTTCTCTCTTTATTTTTAAGACGAGCAAAAATCAAATTAAAGTAGATCTTGTAGATGAAAATTTTACAGAATTAAGAGGAGAAATAGCAGGACCTCCGGACACACCATATGAAGGCAAGTAAAGTTTTCATGTATGCAGTTGTTGTACACTTCATGTGTCTTGAGATGCTTTGTTTGTAAACTTAATTTGCAGCATGAAAATGGCAGAGGTTTGTGTTTTAAAATGGTCTTGATTTTTTTTTAATACAGATTTTAAGCTTAAAAAAATTTCAATTCAGCTTCTGTGTTGCCTGAGAGAGATCTGTTCTACAGTAGGATAGACTATTCCACATCAAAGGTTAATTATAGGTATAAGCTGTGCAGTATAATTGATATAATTCTGACTCTTAGTTGTTTCCTGTGTTGACACTTTAAGCTCCTTAACCATGAAGCATCAAGAGACTGAGCTTCAGACTGTGTATGTGTTTGTGATCTAATGTGGTGGTCATTCATAAATGTTGCTTTTTTCCTATCTCAAGCAGAGATGGCATTGCAAGTTGAATTTGGGATTTATCTTGGGCATCCATTGGTCCCAGTACTTAATTTATACTGGAGTGGGAAACTCTATAGTAGAACTTCATATGTTTTGCTCTCTTTGAAAATTGCACCTGATTGGCTTGCTTTTTTATTAAAGCTGGTAGGAGTAATTGTGCATCTCTCCAGTCTGGAAAAAGGAAGGGACCTTACACAAAGGTCCCCAGTGCCACTCCCACACTTTTGGGGTCCAGGGCCGATAAAGAGTGAGGAAACAGCCTAACAGAGGTTGGCATTGAAGAATATTGGGCAGGGGTAGATGTCAGAAGCTGAGGAGAAGGGAAATGAGCCTGGGAGGGAGAAAGTAGAAGAGTAGAAGCACCTGTAATGGTAGAGGTACTGCCCTGCAGAGCCTGATTCCCAGAGTTCCTCAGCAGTCTAGCAAATAATGGTGGTTTCCTCTCTCCCTCCTTCCCCCATGTGTCTCTGTCTTCATCTCATCAGCTGCTGATGTATATTTGACAGAAGATAATGCCTGGAAAGAAGATCTTTTCTTCTGATTGTAACATGTGCCTTCAATTTAAAAGGAGAACTACACCATTCCCCTAAAATACATAGTTGTGCTGATGTTCCATTTGGAAGAGAATCATTCTGTTTAGTGAGATGGTTGTTTTGTAGCAAGATAGTTTGTCTTGTAAAACCAAGCCTTGTATACAGATATTAAGTTATTGTGAAATTAAGTCATTGGATCCTAGAAAACTTCTGAGTGATGGTAGAAAGGTGTTGCTTTGTGGGGTTTTGGTGTTTGTTTTCCATTCAGACAGAATCAATCCTGGGGTGAGCTGGTTTGTCATGGCTTGCCTTGCTTTTCCCCCTCCAGGTCAGGATTAGCTTGGCATATAGAATGTGCCTTTTTTTTTTGAGAATATATTTAGAGTTACTTGAAATGAAAGATGTATTCATGTGCCACAAAAGTTAAAAACTCTGTAGCTGTTCATAAAGAGGGTAAAAAAAGATTGGAATGCCTGTCTGCAGAGCTGGGTTCTGTGCAGTGCTGGATGATTCAGGTAGCCCAGAATTTCAAAAGCTGAGCACTGTGTATTCACATATTCAGCAATCCCTGCTAGTGAAAGTCAGCAATATGGGTTTAGTGCAGAATTGGTTGTACCTTTGACTACATTTAATTATGAGGACATAGCACATATCCCTTTTGTGGGGCTAAGCTTATTTTGTATTCTGATTATGGTAGGGATCTCATGGAAAAGTGATGTGATTGTATGCTCACTTTGCTCTAGAAGGCATCAAGGAGCAAAATGAAATTCACCACCAGCCCAATTTCTAGTATTTCCTGACACTTGAGTAATTTACTTTGGTGCGTAAATATTTCTGTCATGTGGTTTGATGCATTTATTCCCTTAGATAATTCTGAAGGATAGTGCCAGTGTGTATGGTTTTATGAGTAATGCAGCAGTGTATGCTGCACAGTTACTGACTGCTCTGTGTTGTCTCCAGTCTGAACAGTGACACAGCAAGAAGTGCTTTATGAAGAAGAACTAATTAATGCAGTAGTTCAGGTCAGACAGGTGGGAATTCTAGAGCCATTGTGAAGTGGAAGAACAGGAATACCTGTTGTTGACCATAGCTGGGGAGGAATCTGAAAACAAACAGCTGCTGCAGTATTCTTCTGTAGGTGATGTTGGGACAATAGTTAAGAGTGACTGAGAGGAAGATGCCTTCTATTGTTGACAAAACCTGCAGCTTTTATTTTCCTGTCAGTAGTGTCAACTCATATTGATCAATTATCAGAAGATCCAACTTTAATCGAAACACATTTGCATCCCACGTTAAAGCATGTATGTTTGGAGAAAGGACCATAAAAAGTCTAGATTGATGCTGCTGGGTGTTACTGTGTTCAAAAGTTTTTCAATAGATAGGTTGGGGGTTTGTGTTTGGGGTTTCTTTGGGGTTTTGGTTGGGTTTTTTTAAGCCTGTGTAACAATGGTAATAATTTCAAGCCAAGCTTGCATGCGAGCCACAGGAACTGCAAGATTTATAATAGGATATTTCTTCAAAGAAAATGGCTAAAAATTGCTCTATTGTGAGCCATCCTCCAGGAGGAATATCATACCATCACTGTTCAGTTCAATCTCAAGCATTCAGTAGCTACAAAAAACCCATGTATGTGCATGCTTTTTTAAAAAATTGCAGAAACATTGGCATGCAGAAGTTAGTATTTTGGTCACTTGGATTTTAAATACAATATTAAGGAAATTCATACCCAGATATGCTCAATTTAAGTCTTCAAGTCTATATTTTTAACTCTAAACTTCAGTGCACAACAATACTGTGTAAGTATTGCAACCAGCTCATTAGTCCCAGCAGTTTTAAAATCTTTTGGACTTGTACATTCCAGGTGAAAAATATTGGTGACTGAATAGCCTGTTATGCAGGGGGCTGTAATAGTCTGTCTTTTAGAGGCAAGTTTTTAGTGGTGGAAAGTAGTGTAAAGTATCAATCTGATATTGCCCAGTTTCAGGTGGAGTATATGAGGCAGGATTACATTTTAAATGTGAGTAGCAGCTAATGTGCATTTTGGCACAGATTAAAAGCTGCCACACAACATCACTGTGCAGAGTATTGCTTTGAGGTTTTTTCCCCATGTGTGTCTTGCTGCCTGTGTTGCAACTCCTTTGAGAGCTGGTTTTGTGCCGAGTAAATCACTCTTGAAATCTCAAAGAAAACAGATTGCAGATACTTCAGCTTTAATTCAAGGAAATGTATAAATTGTAACACATATACTGAGGGAGGGAAAATGTTCCTTTCTGAAAGAACAGCAACAGGACGAGGAAAAAAATTGTAGGTGAAGAGAAATGCTTTCAGTTTTTATAAAAACTAAATGTCTAAATTGGTGTATGTGTTTTGTTATACCCTGTTCCTTTCATCACTGTGCTGCTGTGTGGCAGATGTCCTCACTGGGCAGGCAGAGAGAGCTTGAGATTGCTCCAGAAGACACAAGTAGTGATAGTGAACTTGAATGTTAACAGAACTATAATTGAAATAGACATAGGTAATGTTACTGTAACAGGGAGAGAAAGCTGAGAAATGTTTAAAGGAGGCAGTAGGAGGAGGTTCTGTCTGCCAAGCTCATGCTATCCTTCATTGCCTGCTGCAATCCCACAAACGGTATTAATAGTAGGAGTGTGTCAGTGTTTGCAGAATTGGAATAGAAGTTACTACTTCAGGCAGTAATGTGGAACATAAGGAAAGTTACATTGGTGCCTCCTTTATTATTTTTCCCCAAAGTCTTGGAGCTTTTCTTGAAAGATTTACTTGAATATACTTGAGTTCCAGCAAGTTTAAAATGAAACACAGTTAATTTCAGTTGTGTAATTTGAAGAAAATTTATTGGCATGAGCTATCAGAAAAGTATCAGAATAATGTCATCTCCCATGTTCAGCCTGGAGGTTCCTGTGGCCTATAGTTTCATGTCTTTGGGAGATGTTTGATTCATATTTTGGTATATTTTCCTAAAATAAAGCATGGAAATTTCAAGGTTGGAAATGAGAATGTATGCATCAAATATATCTAAGAAGCATAGACTCTTATTTGCATAAGTAAACATGACTTTATTAAACTGACTTTATATGCATTTTTTTATGGAGTATATAAAATTTAAGTGTCTTTTAACTAATACTTCTGGGTGAATTTGAATTACTTGAAAAGATTTAGAAGTGTAAGCTTTATTGTCCTGAAAGACTAAGCTTGAGTAATGTTCTTTTGGTTTAATTTTTAACTTTTTGCAGGTGGAAGGTATCAGCTAGAGATCAAAATTCCCGAAACATATCCATTTAATCCTCCTAAGGTACTGTAAACATGTTTTTTGATAATATAATTTGGCTAACAAGTTGGATTTGAGTATTATTATTTGCTTGCATGTGTAGTCTCTTCCTTTGTTTCTTTATTCTCTAGACAGTCATTGAGGCTGTTCTCTTTGGGCAGAAGTTATGCAGGATGCATAGCTGTATCCAAGCAGAAATACACTCTTGGTTATTCCTTAAAGTACTAACTGACAAATTCTGGGGAGGAACTGGTGCCTTATCATTGAACCTAATGTACTTTCTTTAGGGCAAGATAAATAGGGATAGCCATACTCCCTGCATCATGTAAAACTATCTTCCCTCATGCACACTGTTGTTGAAGAAATGCTGTTTTCTGTTTGTCTGGAAGATGTCTTTGAACCAGGAACACGCTCTACATCCTGATTATTTTCACCCTAGTATGTAATACTGGGAAGGGGCTGTGGGAGAGGAGCTCTGAATGACTTCCCTGAAGCTGGAGCAAAAGACACAGGAAGTCTTAATGAGATGTCTGTTGGTCTCAGTTCTTTCATGTGCATTTGTTCTGATGGGAGCTAAAATAAGGAGAACTGAAACAGGTTGCAGACGCTGCAAGATAGTCTATGGGCCATGGTTTATTTGCTGCTCTAGGGCTTGCTGGTCTCCATTTCTGGAGCTCACAGGCAGCTGATAGGAACTCAGTGCACTGTAGTTTCACAGTGTTCTGCTGATTCTGGAGTCTGTAGCCTTGAACTGGAGGCCTCTTTGCCTGTCTCTGGCCCTGCCTTTTATATGAAAGATTTCTTTAGCTTGTTCAGTACATGCTTTGACAGCCACTGTTAGTCATCATTCACTGTGAGAAATTACCTAGTATTTACATTGCTTTTTACATTTTCCAAGTGATTGAGAGGGTTGAGGTAGTTAATAAGTGGCTCATCTGACACAATTGCTTATTTCTGTCCTGGAAAGCAGAACTCTTATGGTCTTTCCTATTTAATATACCAGCATTGCACTGATTTTGTTATAGCCTTGTATGCACAGTCTGTTGCTGTAGTGCCTGACAGGTAACACGTTACCTTCACTGATTTGCTTGCAGGTCAGGGGCAAAAGTGGAAAGATCTGTGCTATACATAAAATGTTTGTCAGGAGGTTGAGGTGAGAAGGTAGAGATGAGAAACAGAGACAGGTCAAAGTCACTAGAAGGCAGTTAAAGTGCAACCAGAAATCAGGGGTTTGAAGAAAATGAAATTTCCAAAGGTATGTATACATTCCTTTTAGAGGACAGCTTTGGGTTCCAGGTCATTGAAGAGAAAATGCTGTCTTAAAAAAAACCCACCATAACCAAAAAAACCCAAACTCTAGCTGATTTTATTCATGCTTTGTGAACACGAATACACTTTAGCATACAAATGTGGACATGATCAGTGAATGAATGCTGGGACCAGATCCTTTCACCAGCAAAGAAAAATAAAGCTTTCTGCACTTGGGTAATAGGGACCAGATCCTTTCACCAGCAAAGAAGAATAAAGTTTGGGTTGGTGAACAGCTTTCTGCACTTGGGTAATGAGACTGGTTGGCTGTAGAAGTAGTAGCATCCACCAAGGAAATTTGTGTAACACTTTTATAGCCACCAACAATTTCACTGAACAGTGAGATCCAACTCTTACGTTAAGAGTTCAGGAACTTGTTTCACTTTATTAAAAGTGAACTTCCTAGCATTAACAGTGTTGGAAGTTTTAAGTCTGTATTTGACCTTCTGCTTATGTCACAACACTGGAACTGCTGGAGGATGTTTCTGGATGGCTTTGAGTGATGCAGAGATGTGCACACGTGTGGGAGAGCAGTTCGGGCTGAGTTTGTGTGCTTGAATGGGCAGGAGTTTGTTTTGAATAAAGCAAAGCTCCAACAAACAGCCTTACAAATGTGAAGCCTCCTGAAATAAGCAGTGTCACATCTTAGTGCTGGTTTTTAGCTTTGCATTTTCTAAATGAGTATTTCTTTATAATATTATTTAAAATGATGGATTTAAAATGTTTGCTTGATATACTGCATTTAATGATAATTTTTGTTTTTAAAAATTGTCTTGTTTTCTAGGTGCGGTTTATCACCAAAATATGGCATCCTAATATTAGCTCAGTCACTGGGGCCATTTGTTTGGATATTCTGAAAGATCAATGGTAAGATTTCATATGGATTTAAATGTGCAAAATCAAATACACTGCCCTGGATAGGAGGCACCAGCTCATGTTGCTTTTCACTTTATGTTGATAATTTGAGTTGTCTTTAAAGCACACACTACTTCTGAGGTTTTGCAAATAGGCATATGAAATGATTGGATGGTAATTTTGGAGAGCACTAAGTAGACACTATATACACAGAGAGCTCTTCCAAAAATTTTTGCACTAGGGTGGACATTTAATTGTTGACATTTTGGGTGGTTTTGTGTGAGTTCAAACAAGGTATGAAGTGAGTGTGGGAGTAAAAATGGTAACAGGTCAGCAGTAGGAAACAGGAGACAGACAGTAGTGATTCTGTCTTGCAGTTATCACTGATAATATTGAACATTTGCACCTCTGTAACCATTTGCCTTTTATTTTCTGACATTTGATTACTTAATGTTACTGAAAATGTTCTGTTAGCCAAAGGATGTGGAATACACTTGTAAGTGCCCAAACTAACAGCTGCACTCATAATTCATTTGTTTTTCAAAGTGATACATTTCATTGGGTTTGAAGATTGTGTGATTTATGTGATACTAACTCAAATGAAATTATCTTAGTTGCTTTCCTCCCTGTCTGCCCCAAAAGAATAGGCCTGCAGTTCCCCAGCAGATCATATCAGTATCTAGTCCATACAAACTTCAAATGCTTTGAAAGTCAACAGCTCCAAGGCTGCCAGTGGCCAAGCAGACAGCAGTTGGGTTTGAAAGAAACTTGAGAGCAGAAAGCTTGAGCTGAGGTCTTGCAGGTGGCACATGCAGTGTATTAATCTTTTACAGAGTCAAAAGATTATGCAAATAATCTGGCACAGGGTAGTGTAAGTCACTGAAATGAAATAATAGTCATAAGCTGTTGTCTTTCTCATTTCTGGAACTGCATATTTTTCTTACAATCTCAGAGCACTTGATGTTCTTTCAGGCAGTAGAATCTTTGAACATACATGCTGTGGAATATAATTCTTCTTATCAGTAAAGCCAGTGCAGTTTTGTATCTGCATCTAACTATTCATACCACCCTGCAATTTTACTGGAAATTAATGACTATTCAAGTGTGCAAGTACAGTTTCCTGAGAGATCATACTCTAAACCAGATTAGTGAATGGGCATGAGGTTGGTCATAAATACCAAAAGGCAACAAAGATCTAAGGAAATCAGGAGCTTCAGCTTAATTTATGTACTTCTATTTCCAGGAGCTTCAGCTTAATTTATGTACTTGTGTTTTTTTTAGTCAAAACCACTGAGATAAGAAAAGGAAGAGCAGGAGAGGAGTTTTGACCTGTGTTCTTCTAATCTTTGCAAGTTTTGTCTAGCACAAATTAAACATTGCCATTAACCTAGCAGCTCTGAAATATTCCACTGGCTGTGTTTTGGAAAACATATTTAGTTCCACAATCTCTCTTGTCAAATATCAGTAACACGATCTGTTTCTGAATTGACTTCATTGACTTGTAATGCTCTTAACTCAATAATGCTGCTCTTGTTGCTGTTTTAAATGTAAGTCTCAAATTGCTGTGCATATCTGTGTTTTTCGTTGAGGCCAGTGGGAGTTGAAGGACAGAATTTTGGCCTGTAGGACTTAGGATTTCTGAAAGAGTTTATAAGCTGATAAAATACTCATACATAGATGGTGAATACAAATACAGATATTTTATGTGTTTGTGTAGCTTCAAAAAAGTCTCTTCCCTACTCACCCATCCCATGATAATGATTTCCTATTCTGATGAGCATACTTGAGATGATATTCTGTATACTGACAGGAGGTTTTATCAATTTGCAGAGTAATGTCTTTAAATTATTTTTTAATGGGTTTCATAGTATGTTAAGGGGTTCACATTGTATGCTTGATGCTGAAATTCTTTGCTGCTGTGGATTATTTTCATCATGTTTGCATTCTTAAATACCTGTTATGCCAGTTTGTTTGCAAAGCAGCTGCTGTTTGCTGGCAGAATTAAAGCAGGAGTATGATTTGGTAAAAGGAATACTGTTCATCCTTATCTGACATCATTTTTGTTAAGTGGTTTCACTTCCTGTGGCCTATATTTATTTTCCAGGCTAGTAGTCTGTCTCAAAATTTTATTCTTACATATAAAACATACCTAATACTGTTCATTGAAACCTGAGAATGAAATTATGTGAAAGCTGCTCTGTATAAATCCCTTGAGCAGTAATTATTAAGTGAATATGTTGTGGCTGCAGAAAAAAATTCTTGGCTTTTGTGGTTTTGGCAGTCACAAATTAATAACTTCTTTTTCTCATGGTGGCTCTACTGGAGGATTCACACTTCAGGTTGTTGAGTTGAGATGCACAAATGATTGTAAGAGAGAGTGCAGTTTTAATAGCTAAGTATGCAGCAGCTTACTGGACATCTGAAGCTGCTGGGTTTTGTTCAGGGTGTCTGAGGAGCACTGAACCTCCTTAAAGCTTTGGGAAAAATGCAGAGAATATTAACACTGTTTGAGGGAACTCCTCAGCAATCAGGCTGGCTGTCCCCTGTGCTGTGTCAAAGCTATTCTATTCTTCTCTTGTATTTTCTCTGATGGTGCCCAGTCTTGTATTTGTCCTGTAAATAGTGACTGTGCAAGGGGCTTCCACTCAAAGGCCTTATTCATCTCCTTCCAAGATTTGTAAGCCCTTGGTACAAGGTCCCAGAGATTTTCTCTTGGATTAACAAGCTTAGTTATTTCACAAATGAAATAAAAATTGCAGGCTATTTTAAAGAAATTTTCTCATAGCCATGTTTGGTTAGCAGAGTGGGGCACAGTCTGTTGGCTGTAGCTGGTTACCTCTCCAAGTAAGCAGAGATTGTTTCCAGAGGGGAATGTAAAGAACATAAGTAAAAACTTCCTAAATGGAAAATTGCTTAGCCTTTAAAAATGAAGAAGAAAAATAAAATCTAGCAGTGTTTCATAATCCTCTTAGGACTCTCTCAGCTCATCGCAAGGTAAGAGGTTTGTTTCCTCAGGCATGCTGGGCACAGCTCCTTGCTCTGCTTCTTAATGTTCCTTCTATGTTCACCAAGCTAGGGGTGCTCTTTTTAATGGAAATGCCCTAAGATATTGCAAAAAAAAAAAAAAGGAACAAAGTGTAAGTGAATAAAATTCATCTCATCGTTCTGATTCACTCCATGTTTCCCTTGCAGTTTAGTAAATGCAGCACCAATGGACAGAGTGGCCTTTGGTTGGCATGTCAGAGTTGAGGTGTTTAGTTTGAAGTTCTCCAAGGGACTGTGCTCCCCTGTAGTGAATTCTCTGCAGCTCACCAGTAGGTGATATTGGCCTTTCCTCCCATTTGGCAACCTCCAAGCTTGTGTAATATCTAAGCAGCACTTTGGGATGGGGGTGGGAGTCAAGGATTATTACAAGCTGCAGGAGAAAGCAGGGGCCAGTAATGTCATGGGACAAAGGCAATGGAATGTCATGTGCAAGGCATATCAGCTGCTGGGATGTAGGAAGATTTGCCTGCTGCTTCCACTGGAGTAGTGTACCCACTTAGAGAGTCGTAGTGCAATAAAGAGGGGAGCCCTAGGAAAAATCTAGAGTAATGCAACAAGAATGGAATCGAGGAATTTATGTCTGAAAAGTTAAGACTAAGCTATGTAGAAAATAATAAGCTTCTTCCACTTTCTTTGATCAGGAAAGCAAATTAGTGCCCTAAAGGTAAAACATTTCAGATGGTTACATGATAGTTACATGGAATACATCAGTTTTTACCATCAATCACAAGCTGTAATTTCTTTCAGATGGTTACATGATAGTTACATGAAATACATCAGTTTTTACCATCAGTCACAAGCTGTAATTTCTTTTTTTTTTGGATAGTACCAACAGGAGCTGTAGCTGCAACAGATTTTCTTTTATGATTTAAGGATACTTCTTTCAACATTTGTGTCCAATGAAGATTGGCTTACTGTGCATCTTTTATGAGGATACTTCTTTCAACATTTGTGTCCAGTGAAGATTGGCTTACTATGCTTGAGATGTGAAAGCTGTTTTGAGACATGAGACTTGAAAATAAGTTGTAAGCTACATTTTTAAACATTTTTACATATGTAGCTAAACTAGTCTTGTCTGTAAACTTATTATTTTAGAGTTTGAGTTCTCAGAGCATATAGCCATCTGTATATGGATACTTCTTTCAACATTTGTGTCCAGTGAAGATTGGCTTACTATGCTTGAGATGTGAAAGCTGTTTTGAGACATGAGACTTGAAAATAAGTTGTAAGCTACATTTTTAAACATTTTTACATATGTAGCTAAACTAGTCTTGTCTGTAAACTTATTATTTTAGAGTTTGAGTTCTCAGAGCATATAGCCATCTGTATATCCACATGGTTGAGTTGCTTAATTTTATTACTTATTTTGAAATTGGAATGTCAGAACAGAAGTTCAAGTCCCAGTATGGTTTGTGTAAAAATCCACACGCAGAGCAGATGACTGGGGACTGGAAGGGCCTGGCAGTCACAAAAGCTGGAGCCAGCTTAGGTGTCTGTGGCACCTCTGGTTCTCAGCAGTGCTCCCTAAAGTGTCTTGTGAGCTCCTGGAAGGTCTAGTGCAAATGGAAGTAAATTGCATGTAAAAGTGGCATCAGAGGCTGTGACCTTTTTATGTCATTTTCTCTACATTTTCAGATGTGTCTGAAGTAGAAGATTTCTGCAAAGGGAAGTGCAGAACAGTTTTTCTGTGGGGAAAGTAACTACACTATTAGTTACAGCTGATAGATATTTCATGTTAAGTCTGTCTTTAAAAGTACACTAAATAGTGTAATAAAATTACTTAACTGGGAAAAAAGACTTCAGGTTGTACAGCATGTGTGGTGGATGTGATAGTTACTGAAATGCATAAAAACTGCATAAAAATAAAAAAGGTTCAATCCATTTGGGCATGGTAAGGCCTGAAAGACTTAGTATTTATTCCCTGGCACCCAAATGCTGGAATAATAAACATGGTGTGTTATATTCCTTTAATACCAGGAGATGAGACTGTGAATTACATTGTCAATGAATGCATTAAGGACATTAATTTAAAGACAATATAACTAGAAGAGATCACAAGCCCCAGGAAATTACAAGGCTAAAATAGCATAGGTACAATGTAAAGCAAAAATTCTTCTGTGTTTTTTTCACTTAGGTTTTTGTGTGTATGATTTAGGTGTGGAAAGCCAAGATGCTTTGTACTCTAGAGTTTAGTCTGTGTTAGAGGCTCTCATGCAACTAGGGACATGTTTCAGTAACTAGTTCTTTACCTGATTAAATATAACCTTACCAGTTAATCCCCAGCCTTGTTTGTGATTTAAAGAAGTATTTGGCTTGGAAGAGTCACTTGTCTTGGAACCTGAAATACTTACATTGAACTAGAAGATAACCTGAAGTTCTGAAAAGTAAAAAGAATAAAGTTTTGTTCCCAAGGAATAGATTTGTAAAAAGAGAAGTACATGTTGTGAAGGTTTTGTGATTTGTCAGAACTCAGATCTAAAAGCATGAGGGCTTTTTTAAGATTTAAGTCTACAAAGTTCAGCTTGAGGGACTTCAAGTTGATGTGGCAGTTGGAGTGAGACAGTATGCACTAATTAAATCTCTGTCATTTGGGATGTTTCTCACTTGTGTTCTGATGTAGAACACTGCACTGTGAAAGCTCAGTGATAATTGTCAAGCTAAAAAATAAGGCACTGGAAAAAATGAAGAATGCCATGTTGGAATGGTTAGTGATAGAACAAGCAAAGCTGTGGCTGTAAGTATTGAGGAATACAATACTTGAGTGTCACAGAGGAACCTCTGACACTTCACCAGCATCTGCTCTCTGTTCATATATGCTATTAGAGTGACTCAGTGCTGGAGAATGCATCAATTTCTGAAATCTGAGCCTGGAAATAGACTTGCACACTGTTTCCTTTGCAGCTGGACCATCAGGTCAGACTGTTCCCACCTACTCTGACAGACTGCATTTGCTTTCAGTCTTCTGAAAAGAAGACACTGTTTTCTGTTGTCTGAAAACTGAAGTTTGTGTGTTAGAAAGTGGGTGTGTTTTTCACGACTTTCCTCTGGCGTTTCACGTGCCATAACCACTTTGCTCAAACCTAAGATGTCACATTTTCCCCACTTACCTTCTACCTGTTCTTAAGCAGAGTAAGCAGTTTTGTGTATTGGTTTGAACATCTGTCTGTGCTTTTGCCCCAGCAGTCTAGTTAACTCTTCAAATCAGCTGAAATACTCAATTTTTAGAGTCTGGGGGGTCCTTATTTGGTTTCCAGTGTATGCCAACTGGAATGGTAGATCACAGATGGTATTCACGATCCAAATCTAATTAAACTAAGTGTTACAAATTTCCAGACTTATGGTGTGTAATAATTTCATATGATTCCTTTTGAGGGTTTATTGACTTTGTTTTCTCTTACTAAATTATCGAAGTCTCATTTTAAGTATGCTTTGGGGTCAAGGTAAATGATGGGACCCTAAAGCTTTAGAAGTGCTGACTCTGGAGCTATGCTGCCTTCAGCAGGTTACTTTTACAGGGGCAGAGTCACTTGACAGCACCATCCAGGCTGCAGAATGTTTTCTTGCTTCCTTTGGGCATGTCAGGTTGTAAGGAGAGGAAGCCAAAGGAGTGTCTGAAATGACAGGATCTGTCATAGCCTACTCTTTTTCTTACTATAGCAGTAACTCACTCCGCAGATTGTTACATTTCCCTGAAAAATGTCATGCTGAAAGTGGTGCAGTGCCAAGGAGGTCCAGTGTTTGGAGTTCCTCACCTGCTGTGGGCAGTGCCAGCAGAGGGCACAGCACCCAGTGCAGGCTCTGGTGTTTGGGCTCAGCTTCTCCTGCATTCTGTGCACGAGGTGGAGTGTGGCTGTACCTTCCAGAAACCCAAGAAACCATCAGCAGGTCCACATTGAACCCCCTGTTAAAATATATATATAGAGAGAGAACAGTATTCTAATAACTATGAACTGCAGCAGTTAAAAATCATGATTCTTGAACCTCTAATCTGTACATAAACTCCATCTTCTGTGATGCTGGTACAGCCACAAAGGTGAGTACGGGCATGGATTTTTGTTAAAGTGTTTTTTAAATTTCAATTTTAGGGCAGCAGCAATGACTCTCAGGACAGTGTTGTTATCGCTGCAAGCATTGTTGGCAGCTGCAGAACCAGATGATCCACAAGATGCAGTAGTGGCAAACCAGGTAAGATACTCAGTCCACTGTCATTTTGTGACATTTTTGTAACCTTTGCTGACTCAGGTTAGGTCCCAAACATTGCAGGAGGTAAAGACTTGAAACAGTTCAGGTCCCAAACATTGCAGGAGGTAAAGATTTGAAACAATTTATTGGGAAATTGCCATATAGTGTGAGCTGCTACTGTGTTTTGTGTTCTTACTCTGGGAAATTGCCATATAGTGTGAGCTGCAACTGTCTTTTGTGTTCTTACTGCTTGGTTTCATTTACAGTGTCAGGAGGTTTATTTTGTTAGTTTAGTCCCTTATTTATGTATCACCTTGTCAGAAATGTCAGGAGATAACAGCACAGTAAAATGAATTCCAGAATAATTTGCCATTTAAAATCTAAGGCTTCTAAGTAACACTCTGTTGGTTTAAGCTTGATGGTGTTCATTGGATTTGGTTTGACTTCCAGACTAATATGAATTTTGTTGAGCATTGTATTTGTTTAATGTCAAAATTTTAGAACAGTGACTTAGGATAACTTGCAACAACTGTCTTAATCACTGGTTGGATTGGTAGCATTAAAATTCCATCATCAGCAAGGTTTGTTAACTTTGCAGACAGCACCAGTGTCTTGTAATACCAATAAGTAAAATGTCAGTTGGATCTTATGCCATACCAGGACTGACATGGTTCTGTTTGTTGGTGAAAGATAGAAACAGTCATTCCATGGCTTCATAGTCTGACAGTTTTCAGCCAAGTCCCATGTGTGTTTTTGGTTTTACTAAGTCAGGACTCTCCAGGACAGGGTGACAAAACGTGCACTCTCTGCCTCTAAAAATAAATGTAGGCTGGTAGATAAGCAGTTTATCAAACCTGTCAGGATGTAGGGGGAAACATGGAGCTCAGAGGTGGCCCCATTGCTCTGCTGGGTGGGTGAGAGCTGTTTGCTGCTGCTGTGCTCAGTGGGAAGTACAGAAGTTTTGCCTGTGGGATTCTGCAGTGCTGTCAGGCTGCTCTGAGCTAATGTCCCCAAGCAGCTCTGTCAGGCTGAATTGCTCTGCCCAGGGAGAAGTGTTGCACAGGCCAACAAGGCCACCAGGCATGTCCCTGCACTGGTTTTCCCTGCTGGGTTATGCCCTTGCTGTCACTCTCTTCACTACACAAAACCCCTTTTTTAACTAAGAACAAAAATAGTTGTTCCCCATTCTGGCCCCGATGGTACAGTTTTGTGTGGGAATCATAACAGTCTTGTAGAAACACTTGAGCTGGAAAGAGGTTTTTTTCTCAGGCAAAAAACTTAATGAAGCTTCCTAGATTCTGAAGAGCAGTTTTCCAGGCCTGCCCCTCAGGTGCTTGTGGGGATGTGTCCAGTGGGACTGATGTGGCTGATATGTGGGGAGGATTCAGTTTCTTCTGTTCCCAGCATGAAATGGGGTTTGGCCTTGAGTGACAGGCAGTGTATGCAAGTGGAAGGTGATCATAAAGGTTTTGACAGATGTAGTGCTAAACACCCAGTCAGTTCTTTTGTGTTTTATTTGGTGTTGGGATCTTTTTTACTTTGTTTGGGGTCAGTGTGAGTTTCTGTTTCGGGAAAAGCAAAGGAATGAGTTATCTTCCACACTTACTGTGTGAATTTACTAAACTCTGTGTTGTCCAGGTAGATGGCAGTATCTATAAGGGAGAGCTCCTGGGACTGGATAACAGCAGTGTTTTCAGACACCAGCTGTCTGATGTCAAAACTGCCTCAACTAGCTGCTGTTGTTTTCAGCACAGCAGCATTAACTGCCTCAGATTCCTGTGCCCTTAGGCTTCTCTCAGCTCAGGGAGAAGCTGCATTATGTACAGATACCTTAGTAAAGGAGTTCCATTAATAGAACACTGAAAGCTAGTTCTGAATAAATTGCAGTTATGACTTATCCCTTGCACTTGAGCTAGTTGCTTTCTAGGCTTGGCAGTGTTCTGAAAATATTTGAAACAAAATTAATCTGTTAAGAGCAGCAGAATACACTACTGCAGGGTGCTGCTGGTGCTGAGCTTAATCCTTCCTCTTTTCTCGTTGTTACAACCAAAGAAACTTACTACAGACCACTGTCTTGAGAACACTGAGTTATTTCCAGCATAGACTGTCTCTCAGGTTTGTTTTAATTCCATTAGGACCCAGACAGGGCTGTAGTTGTGTGTTAGTGTAGGAGAGGCAAAATGACATGTACAGCATTTGACTGTGCTTTGTACAGTTAAGGATTATTTTCATGTATGCATGAAATGCTTAAGAATGATAATCAGCCTTGTTTCTGTCCTTAAATGCACCTAAATATTTGAAGGATATATTCCCTGAAATCTCATCATTCAGTGCTAAAATGTATTATATATCTAAAGATGGAGCTACCTGTTCTTTTTGTAATGTGACAATTAAGGGAAGAGGGTTTTTAAGACAAAAAACCTGAACTTGACGTTACATACAAAAGTTGCTAAACTGGGAAAGTCGTTTGACTTTTCTGGGTACAGTTTATGACAGATGACCCAATTCTTGGCTTTGGAGTTCCTGCCACATGCTCAAAGTTCTGTTGTTTATTAGAAAACTTGTTAGCAACAGGATTGGTGCAAAACAATATCTTTACACACATGATTTTTTTTCAGGTAAATAATAGCTTGCATGCAGAGTTGCAGCTTCCTGGCTTTTTGCACGTGCTCACCCATTTCTCAGCCCTTCCCTGGTCACTGTGTCCTTCCTGCCTGGCTGTCATCTTGTCTTGCAGTTTGGTTGGATTGCTGAGTTGATTTAACTTTCCCCTTCTCCCCCCTCTCTCTTTTGTGTAGTACAAACAAAATCCAGAAATGTTTAAACAGACAGCTCGACTTTGGGCACATGTGTATGCTGGAGCACCAGTTTCTAGTCCAGAATACACCAAAAAAATAGAAAACCTTTGTGCTATGGGCTTTGATAGGGTAAGTATATATAACATATATTTGTCAGTAGGGGCAGGGCAGTACATGTGTATAAATACAGGGAGGCATCAGTATACTAAAGTAGATTCACTACTCCCATGACCTTTTGTAGGTCTAATCATCCTGGTTTGCTAATTATTTTTAAGAATTGGAGGTCTAAAATGCTGTGTTACTGATAAACCTTATGAGTTACCTCTGCCTTTTTTTGAAACAAGTTTTCTATAAACTGTTAGTTGGGATTTAACGAATGGTAAACGACTGTGTTCTGATTTAATCTGTGAAGTTTTCATTCCACTTCTCAGAGCTGCAGGTTCACACACTGAAAATATGATTGCTTTTGTTTTCTCATTGCAGAATGCAGTAATAGTGGCCTTGTCTTCAAAATCATGGGATGTAGAGACTGCAACAGAATTACTCCTGAGTAACTGAGCCATCTAGAGAGAGCTGCTTCTGTAGTCCAGCTTGCCCCTTCTGGAGGAGCATCACCATCTGTTATTTCTAGGATTCTCTATAGATTCTCTTTCAAAACTGGCACTCTTGCCTGATGATGCTATCTAGGCACTATTGGAGACTGAAAAAAGCGCTCTGTAAATAAAGCTAATTAAACGTCTGTGTAAATTTAAAAAGGGGAAATACTTTAATTTTTTTTCTTACTAAATATTGTAAAAATTCTTTGAGCTCAGCTAAGATAATGGGGGAAAAAACATGCCTACTTTAGTGTTTAGCAGTGTGACAAAGACTAGCAGGAACTTGCTTCAGGATTTTGATTTAGTAATTCAGAAAGGAACATTTTTGAGTGTTAGTCATCAAACTTGTTGGTGCCACTCATCACAGTTATCTTACTGTTTTTAACATGGATCCTATGTGCCTGTGGATTGACCTATATTTGCATGCTTGTACTTAATATTTAGGTAGGGTCGCTGAAGAGAGCACCATGGAAAAAATATTCGATTGGTTTTGTAACTTCTCTCCTGAAAGGCTTTCAAGACTTGCCCAAAGTTCCGAGTGGTGACCTATTCAGAGCCATTTTCTTTCTAGCTTATTAATTGGCAAACCTGATTCTCCTCTCCCTTCCATCATCCCGTTGGAAATCTTCTCTAGATTATGTTTCATCATCTGTGAGGATCACGTGTGCCATTACAGTAGTCTAGGCTCCCTTTTAAAAATACACTATGAATTCTCTGTAATGATTCTCAGCCATCGTGTTCTGTACACAATCCTGTAAGGAATTTGCCTCGATACAGCACAAAAAGATGGAGCTGGTTTAATTTCCTTTTTTTTTTTTGTCTTAAATAGCTGTAAAGTGTTCTTCAGTACATTCTGGATAATATGATTTCACGGGGTTTGAAGGAGGACAGAGCTGATTCTCCAGCATACTGAGAATGAAATATTTTTTGAGTACTTGATATGATGCAATCAGCTGGTTTTTGCAGCGGTTTTCTAGCTTTATTTTGGGCTTCAGTTTAAGGATTGCTTACCAGGTACTTTAAAATTCATCCTTGCTTGCATTTTTCTCTGGTTAACACATGGAGGCTGTTGGTGTTTTTACTGTACATACTTCCAATGCACATAGAAGTAGAAGTGTGTTCTCAATTTAGCTTTCTTTTGGATTGATGTTTCTGATAAACGAGAACTGAAATCTTATCTTGGCTTGTACATACAGTCAGTCTTTTTGTTTGTATTAAAATGACATTTCATCCTGAGTGCAAAAGCTTGAAAATCATTAGTTTTGCAACTTCAAACACTAGTACATCTATTTAAAGAGAGCTGTAATGTCTTTGTGAATATTATGCTAACTTTTGAGACTATATCTGACAAGAAGTTCAGAGAAATCCTGAGACTAGAGAGTCAGGATTGTGGATAATGGAGTACTGTATAAGTCATCTTTTCTATGACTGTTTTGTTTTGGGTTTTTTTTCTCCTAAACTGTGGATTAATGGGGTGAGGAAATATATACCTGATTGGGGGTTTTCTGGAGCTATGAAGTACAGGTTGAAATAGTTCCACACTTCATAGTCTGTAACTCATACTAGAGGAAATCAGGAACGTTATGGTATCTGTTAAATACCTGGGGCATAGTGGGAGGGGAACAGAGCCAGAGAACAGAGCTGTAGAGGCCTGTACTGCTCTGTCTGGTGTGTCCAGACTTAAAACAGGGCACAGACAGTAAATACTTTGAACTCATATCAGTGCAATACTAAATGCGTTTGCTTAGTCTTTATACTTAACTGCTTTCTGAGCTGTAGTCAGTGACCAGTTTTCTTGGGTTTTCTTGAGTTAGTGTAAATCATTTGCGATGATGCCAAAGGAATTGAGTTGTTTTGACTTTCCTTGTATTTATTTATTTTTTTAACAAGGAGCTGCTACTGTTCAGCTGGTTTGCCAGGGGAAAACCAGGGACGGTAGGGAACTATGGCAAAATGCCACTTGTGTTAATCTCAAGTTGCTGTCTTTTCTGTTACACAGGCTAAGAACTTCTTGATTACATCAACAACATTTTTTATTTTTTTTTTTACCCTGGTGGTAAATATGAGTTGCTGACTACTTTCCCTTGTTCTTCGCTGCTATTTATCAAAAGAAAGAACTTGGAAATCATTGTTGGGGACATCACACTTGTCAGTCACAGGCTGCTGAGCGTGTCTTTTGCCAAGACCAGTCTCCTGAGAACAGCAGGATTTTTTCCAGCAGTGTGTAAGGGATAAAGGAAGCTGGGGAAGATGGAGAGGGAGAAGAGAGGGAATTGATGGGAGGTGAGCACAGTCACCTCTGAAAGAATGCCCTGTTAAGTTTTACTTCTCTCACAAAGTTACCTCATTTTCTTCTCTAGTGCAAAACACTTGTCTTCCCCTGCCCCCTTAGGTGCCAGGTTAGATTCTGGGCTTTGCCCTCCATCCCTGTGCTTGGCAGCAAGGGGAACAGTGAAAGAAGCTTCTTGAGCTGGGGAGGAAACATGACTGAGCATTAAGGAGACATTTGTGGTCTGCAGTCCCTCTGCATTTTGCCATGTGAGTCCTTTATAAGGAATGTTTTTGTATTCTTGGTAATTATCAGAGCTGAATCTAGGGATGATGTTGTACGAGGTTAGTTTAACAGCAGCTGGGGCTGAGCCCCAGGAGTTCTGCTGTTAGTGTTGGGTTTATCATTGTGAGTTTGTACATACAGTTCTGTTTTCTGTATCACTGCACGTGGCTGTTCTCAGGGCCCTGTGCATGCACAGACTGGAGTTGCCATGCAGCCACTCCAGCTGTGGGCTCAGGCTGCCTTCCTTACAAGGACATGAAATGTGGGTACAGTTGCTTTCTACGTACCAATAAACCCTGCATTGTCTTCCTCTGTTGTGCCAGATGGCTTGGACAGTCATTTTGAAGTCTAAATGTCCCCATGTTTCTAAGCAAGGTATTGGTAATGACACCTTTGGATTGCCAGAGCATCCACTGCATTTCACTGCTGAAGGTTTTAACAGCATCCAGCAAAGTGGTTTAGCCTTTCTCCAAGAGCAAAGTGCAGCTTTGTTCAGGGAGAGAGAAATGCCCCTTCTGTTGCCAAAAGCCTCTGTTTTCCCATGAGTACCAAGAGCCCTGACTGTATCCCACCCCCGCTTGCCAAATTCACAGCTTCCTCCCAGTGCTTCTGCAAACAAGCTGTGCTCTCCTACGACAAACTGGTGCATTTTGGAGACAGAAAACTTAGCAACATATCCTTCTGGAAAGATGTATCACTTAGTGCTATTCATTCTGCATACTCCAAACTTAATTTTTTATTTTTAAAGCTTGTCACAGAGTCCATGGCCTTGACTAGGACTGGTTTGGTAGTATTTCTCCAAGCAATCAGGTACTACTGGTGTACAAATGTGTTTTGGTTTTTTTTTAATTGTCATTGTATTCAACTGTTTTCCAGGTAAATCAGTATTGGAACACTGACATAAGGGATATAGAATCTTTTGTTGTTGTTGTCTGAAAGGAGGAATTAAATAGCCAGAAAGAATCTTACCTTGTAATGCCAAATCTGCATGAGATGGTGTGGGTAACAGAAACATTTAAACTATGCAAATTTAAGCTTAACAGCTGTGAATCAGACTAGGCACCTCGGAGCCTGTGGATTGCTGATTCCATCGGGGAAGGGACAGGGGGAATCAGAACACAGTTTCAAGCAAGAGTTCTTGTTTACTGCATTGGTCCTACACTGTGATGGGGAAGTGTTCCATTTTTAGCACAAGGGGAAACCTAACTGTGTGCATGTCCCTTGTTTCCTTCCCCAACACCAACAAAAGCTGGCTTAGACTTGGAGGCTTGCCCAAGGGGGGAATGTTAGGTGACTCAGCAGAGAAAGCTGGTGTTACTCAATGTCTGCTGGTGAGCAGTGAGAAGATGAGGTGTCCTCTTCTGCTGTTCTGTGGATGAGTGTGGCCACTGATTTGTGATCAGGTGCTTAGTTTTTTATGGTTTTGATGAGCAATTGGCTCAACAAGAGATAGCAAAAGTGCATTTCATCATAACCATCTGTTGTGCCACAGAAGTGCAGCGTGAAAGTGAAGATGTTTGTTGGGTGCCTAAAGCCTTTTCTGGGAAGACCATTCAGCTGTTTTCACTGTTTCCATCCTCGTTTTCCAGGCACAGCTTTCTCCTAGGGCTAGGCAAAGGGGCAGTCACTTCTTGATAGTTCTCTGATCTGTTCCCAACCCTCAGTGAGTGATGTAATTTGCTCTTCCTGCTCGTGGTGTTAGTGTCATCAGCTGATTCATCATTAGACTCACCAGACCAACTGTCATCAACGCATTTTGCTTCTGGCTTGGGTCATTCCAGCTGCAGAGCTGTCAGCAGCAACCTGACTTCAGATTTGTTCTCGCTGGACAAACTCTTGAAATCATTTGCCCTGTACTGTGATGTGATGTTCCTTCTCTGCTGTTACCTGCTTTGTAGGCTTCAGAATAGCTAGAGGATTGCTCACGGTGCTGAGCCACTCATCGATAATGTAAGTTCATATCCATGACTCGACAGACAAGGGAATGTCCTGTGAAAACACTGTACTTGTCTGGTGTCTGACAGAGGCTGCCAGCACACAGATGCTGATGTCAACTGGTGAAGAACCTGCTTTTCACTTACCTTTCCATCCTAAATCCTGACTTACAACTCCTGCAGGAGGTTGGTTCCTGAGCCTCAGACTTCCTGTGGAGGAGGAGCAGGGGGGGCTGGAATGCAGCATCAGTGGGTTTTTTTGTCTTGAAAACGACACAAACATTTTTGTACACAAATGGTTTTTTAAATAAACACACATTTTAAAAGATCTTGATTTTCACTGGGAATGCTTAACAATAAATGCATGTTTCCCTGAAAACAGGTTTCATTTTATTTCTGGCAGTTGAGATTGTTCTGAGATTACAGGGTCTGCTGCCTCCATGTCAGTAACGAGAGAGAAAGGGATGATCATTTTCATGGTGCACATTGAAAACTGCTGAAGAAGAAAACTGTGTAAATATAAGTTGTGTACTGGGACTGCCTCGTGTGTTGGCCTGAGAAATTCGTGTCCGTCGGCAACACCTCGTGGCTCCTCCAGAGGCTGAAGAAACAAAGCTAAGAACTCAGAGGAAAAAGTTTTCTTTGGATGTTCCAGCACTGCTCATGTTCA